AACCAGTCCATCCTAAAGGAAATCAGTCCTGAATATTCATTGGAAGGACTGATGCTGAAGCTGAAACTCCAATAGTTTGGCCACCTGATGGGAAGAACAGACTAATTGGAAAAGACCCTGATGCTGGGAAAGATCGAAGGTGGGAGGAGAAGGGGACGACAGAGGATGAGATGGTTGGATGGCATCACCAACTCTATAGACATGAGTTTGAGTAAGCTCCAGATTTTGGTGAAGGACAGGGAAGCTTGGCATGCTGCAGTCCACAGGATCACAGAGAGTCAGACATGACTGAGTGACTGAACAATTCTCTTTACATGTAAAACCTCACAAATAACGTCCCATTTCATAGAAGGGCTGTTTGTGTGTGCATATGGATACATTCATGTATTCATTTTATACATTATATATTTTTACACTATCTATAGACATATACATTTATCTATACTATAGATTAGATATATGTGTACAAGTGCACTTAATGTGTAGGTGAAATAATCTGAGCTACATTATCTATATATTTTTACACTATCTATAGACATATCCATTTATCTATATATTGTAGATACAGATATATGTGTATATGTGCACTTAATGTGTAGGTGAAATAATCTGTCTGAGCTCAATCTTGAAATGATAGAAATGGAATCTCAACCCAGCTCTTGTCTCCAAACACTTTTGGGGTTCTATCCACTAAATGATCAACTTTGCTTCTGCCCTTAAATCACCAGGCATTTTTGAAAATTCTGATTTTGGGGTCTCACTTAAAGAGATTCTGATATGACTGCTCTGGGGCATGGTCCCGCCTGAGGACTTTTCAGAGTTCCCCAGCTGGCTTTAACGCACTCTCAAGGTGAGAACCAGCACTCAAGCCAGCACTCCACTTATCAGTTTCTTATTGCTCTTACGACAAATAAGCACCAACAGTGGCTCCAAACAAGACATATTATTCTACTGGTTTCTGGGTTCACAGTTTCAACATGGGTCACATTGGGTTAAAATCAAGGTGTGGGGCTGGGCTGTATACCTTTCTGGAAGTTCTAGGGGAGAATCTATTTCTTGCCCTTTCCAGGTTTTAGAGGCTGCCCAGCTTATTTGTCTAGTAGCCTTTTGTGTTCATCTTCAAAGCCAGCCACAGCAGGTCGAGTCCTCACATAGCATTACTCTGACATTTCCTGCCTTCTTTTCCCCGTTTAAGGACACTTGTGATTACATTGATCCCACCCAGGCTATCTGAATAATCTTCCTATTTTAAAGGCACATGACCAGAGACCTTAAGCCCATCTGCTACCTGATCTGTTTTGTCCCATAAAATAGCATAGTCACAGGTACTGGGGATTAGGGATCAGATCTCTTTAGTGGCCATAATTCTGTCGACTACAATTGACTAGCATTTAAAAAAAAACCAGGGTTTCCCTTCTATTGCACCTGCTCACAGTGGGGAAAGCCAGTGAGTGGTGTGTTCTTTTACAGAGCAGTCAAGTCAGAGCTGCTGGGTATCTGAAAACATCTCCCTTCTGTTCCCTTCACTCTTCTTTCCCACTGGTAAGAGGAGCAGGGAGAGCCTGTCATTCTCTGGGCTTCCCACAGCTGCTGTCACACCACTTGAAAACAGAGCCCAGGTGACCAGCGTTCCCAACCCATCCCGGGATGAGGCAATATGCGAGCTGCCATATGCTCCGGTGGGTTCCGGCTGACGCTGAGCAGGTGTACGGCATCCGGGCCAAGCATGTGGAGGGTGGCAGATTCACAGAGGGGAGGTACCGTTTTCAATTTACCAAAGGAAGACCTAGAAAATAACAGAGAGCTGGATGTATTTCCCTCTCTCCTGCTTCCCAGTCATTTCCTAAGAAACAGAAGCTGGTTCTGGTTTTCATTCTGAAAATCCAAGGAAACACTTTGAACATGATGCTCGTGCTGATTTAAAAATGATTCTCCAACATTCAGAATCCATCAATTATCAAGATGCAGAAGCCTCCAAATATTTATAATGACAGCACTATCATTATGTTAAGTTATTATGACAAGAAAGGGAGGAGAATAGTTTAACCTCAGCCAAGGTGTGTGTGTCTGTGTGTGTGTGTGTGTGTATTCTGTGCCTCAATTTAGGATTTCAATAACAACTTTGCAATATACAGTCGTATCTCAATAACAGTTTCTTACAGAGACCACTTAATATACCTGAGCATCTTTATTCCTCAATATATTTACATCCATATATGCCTTTTCAAATTAAATGTATCATCTCTGGTGGTGGGTGAGGGGAAGAAAAGAAAAGCCAAAGTTAAATGAATGGTACTCCATGAACAACCCAAGTCGAGTTCACTGATGTTGGCTCTGACGAATTCATCTTAATCAATGTGATTGCTTCTGCTCCTGTAAAAATGAGTGATTGGGACACATAAAATACGCTATCAACTTTTACCCCAAACTAAGCAGTTTAGATCATTTATTTCCATAAAATGAGACTGTGCATCGTATGTCAAGCTGGCGCGTTTTCTGTGTGACTGACTTTAGAGACCAAGTTGACAATCTAAGTTCTAATTATTTGTACCCTCCCCAGTCTGTTATTATAGGACGTCGTGGGACTCTCCCAGAGGAGTGTCAGAAAGGATGTTATGTGGGCTGACGGGAAGCAGCTGAAAACGATCCACTGGGTTTTTTAATGCAGATGATGCACCGGTCAGAGAGGACCCAAAGGGGATGGAAGAACCCTGATTGGAAGGTCTGAGTGTGTTCCATCTGTTACTCCTCTAGCCTTTTCATTAATGCTGCGTAAAGGCAAGCAGGGTCCCGGCTGCAGAAAGGTGTCTAGATGTCTGCCAGGCCCAAGGCCTGAAACTCCTCTCCCCTGGCAGGGTCAGATGCTTGCAGGGTCCACCTTCAATTCCAGGTCAAAACGCTATTCAGTTCCCCAGGGTGTTCAGGAAATAAGCATGACCTCAGTCAATCAGGTGGCCTTGGGTTTGCATCACAGCACTCCTGTGTCCTCACCGTAGGTCCATCAGAACATTAGTTACAGCCCTCATCTGAATTAAAATGGAAATTTCATCATGCAGATTCCAGTGCTACAGTAAGATGTATCTGTGAGACTTCAGTAAGTCTGAAGCTTACTTCTTTCTCTACATTAAATACACTATGTGGATGAAGGAAAGAAAATGATAAAGAGGCAGCTGGTTTTATACTGCTGATGGTTTTTAAAAAATGGAATATACATGAAAAAAGACCTCAACAAGCATTTTCAAATGCATTGGGTCTTTTTTTCTTTCCAGCTTATCTTTCCTAATGGTTTAAAGAGAACATATCTGAAGCCAGGCTGCCTGAGATTGGAATTCCAGAGCTACCACTTTAGCACCTGTGCAACCTTGGACAAATTATTTAACCTCTCTGTGCCTTGTTTTTATGATTCACATCATGGAAATATCAGTAATTATTTCATAGGATTGTTATGAGGATTCAATGAATGAGTACATGTAAAGCACTTAGAATAGTGCTTGCCACTTACTGTTGTTGTTACTGTTTTTCAAAAATATGTTAATATTATTGTTGCCACCTTCACTTCCCTTGCTGAGCTCTGCACTCAGGCATCTCATTCATTCCCACTGGGAAGAGGTTGTTTCTGAAAGGAAATAAGAGCCTCATTTTGGTCTTTGAATTTAAATACCTAGCTCTCAGGGAAATAGAAATGACTCAGAGCAAAGTGAAAAATATTAATACTAACAAGGCTTCCTGCTTCCCAGACTAGAATAGTGTTCTTGACATGTGAGAGCAAAGCAGGTGGAGGGAGAGGTCAGTGTAGCCGACATTAGCAGGTACCCGGAAGACATCTGGCCCCTGGCTTCACTGACCCTGCGTGGGGCCAGTAGTGGGAGGAATGATGTGAACCTAGAGAATCCATGGGATGTGGCAGAGGAGGAGACCAGTGCATCCGTTCAGCTTAGAGTCCTCAGGAGGGGCAAGACGCCAGAGGAGTGGTGGTTGTGCTGTGTGCCCAGGCAGACAGCACTGGGAGAACCTCACAAAAATTCTCCATGCCGCAGTCTGGTGTAGACACAAGGACTCCTCTGCATCTGAGAGGGGGACCAAATTATCCACTAGAAAAAGCCAGACCGGAAGGAGCCTTGAGGACTGGAAAAGGGGTGATTCCTGGTGATCTGCATGAACTAAAGATCAAGGATCAGATGTCATGAGGGATGCTTCCACAGATATCAGCATGGACAAATGATGCTGGGGACCAGATGCCCCCCAACCCCACATCATGGCAATGTGGCCCTGAACTTGGATGCACCCAAGAGAAAAATAGGGGGGAATACTCAATGAACTGAAATTAAATTTCCATGTATTTCCACCTTTTAGATCTTAATAGAACCTGAATTGGGTTCCAGTAAATTTTTGAGACTTTGACTGTGTGGATCACAACAAACTGTGGAAAATTCTTAAAGAGGTGGGATTACCAGACTACCTTACCTGCCTCCTGAGAAATCTGTATGCAAAAGCAACAGTTAGAACTAGACATGGAACAACAGACTGGTTCCAAATAGGAAAAGGAGTACATCAAGGCTGTATATTGTCACCCTGCTTATTTAATTTACATGCAGAGTACATCATCCAAAATTTCAGGCTGGATGAAGCTCAAGCTGGAATCAAGCTTGTCGGGAAAAATGTCAATAACCTCAGATACGCAGATGACACCACCCTTAGGGNGAGCAAGCTCCAGGAGTTGGTGATGGCCAGGGAGGCCGGGTGTGCTGCAGTCCATGGGGTCACAAAGAGTCGAACATGACTGAGAGACTGAACTGAAACTTTTGAGGAAGTTCTTTCTCTTACATACTGGAGTTTATAGACCAAGATTCATATCCATTACATGTAATAAAGGATTTGTGGAAGAGCACCTGTAAATGGATGACTGGATGAGTTATTTGGTTTTAATTTAAAATGATCTCTGAAACACTCACACATGGAATTTGGTAGTCCCATCTATTGTGGCTTCCCTTGTGGCTCAGATGGTAAAGAATCTGCCTGTCATGCAGGAGACCCGGGATGGATCCTTGAGTCGGGAAGATCCCCTGGAGAAGGGACTGGCTACCAACTCCAGTATTCTTGCCTGGAGAATTCCATGGCCTGAGGAGCCTGGTGGGCTACAGTTAATGTGATTACAAAGAGTCAGACATAACTGAGCGACTAACACTTTGACTTCCATCTATTGAAACATATTTTTAAAACCTTATTGTGTAACAGTTCAAATATACATGTAAAGAGAAATATACCCACATACCCATTTCCCATCTTCAACAAGTATCAATTCAGAGTAACTGTTTTTCTATTAACCCTCCTACATAACTCCAACCCCCAAACCCCTTTATTATTTCAAACCAAATCACAGACATCTTATTACTTCAGTAAGTATCCTAAAATATTCTTTTAAAGTATGTAACTATAATATCATTAATCTACATAACTATAATAATTTCACAGTATCATTAAAATCTGGTGTGAAATATTCCTAATTATCTCATAAAGGTTTTTATAGTTTTTTAAATCAAGATCCAAACAATATCCACAGATTACATTTTTATGGATTTCTCACATCTTTTAAAAATTACAGCTTTTCCTCTTTTGTTTTCCCTTACAATTTATTTGTGAAGAAATCGAATGATTAATGATGCTCTATCGTATTTCTCACAGTCTGGATTTTGTTGCTTGATAACTCTATGGTAATATTTAACATGTTTTTCTACAACTGTACTTCCCATAAAGTGAGAGCTATACCTAGAAGTTTGATTTGACCTGTTGATACTTTGTCAAAAAATATTTCATAGAATGTATTTCATAATTCCCACAGGAAGCACATAGTGTCTGGTTTTTTCTCTTTGTGTGATACTAGTAGCCACTGATTATAATTACCTAGATCCACTATTTTATTAGAGGCCTGCAAAATGGTGATCTTCTAATTCTTTAAGTTATTTTTTAGCTGGCATACTTGTATAAAAATAAGCCTCAAGATATTTGGTAATCATGAGGTTGTATAGGAAAAGCAGGTGGAATACTTAATTCTCTCATTACCAGTTTTCAGAAAAACAAAAAATTGAGAATTGGTTCTTTAGCAACCTTCAAGTTTGTCACTGACTTTTTTCCCTTTTTATTGAAGTATAGTTGGTTTAAAATATTATATTAGTTTTAGGTGTACAACATACTGACTCAGTGTTTTTATAGATTATACTCCGTTTAGTTATTATAAAATAATGGCTATATTTTACTGAGCTGTACAAAATATCCGTGTTGCCTATCTGTTTTATACATAGTTGTTTGTAACTCAGTTCCATGCTCCCCTGTTCCTTCCCTATTGTTAACCACTAGTTTGTTCCCGTATCTGTGAGTTTGCTTCTCTTTTCTTATATACATTTGTTTTTATTTTTTAGATTCCATGTATAAGTGATGAGAGTTTCTGTCTTTGGCCTATTTCGATAAGGATAATATCTTCTAGGACCATCACACTGTTGGAAATGGCAGTGTTTCATTATTTTTTATGACTGAGTATTATTCCTGTGTGTGTGTGTGTGTGTGTGCGCACATATATATACACACATATACGCACGCATACAGAGGGCTCCCCTGGTGGCTTGGATGGTAAAGAATCCACCTGCAATGCAGCAGACCTCGGTTCAATCCCTGAGTCAGGAAGACTCCCCTGGAGAAGGGAATGGCTACCCACTCTAGTATTCTTGCCTGGAGAATCCCATGGACAGAGGAGCCTGATGAGCTACACTCCACGGGTCACAAAGAGTCAGACATGTTGAGCAACTAACACTTTCATTTTTTCACACATATACACAACCATCTTCTTTATCTTTCTGTCTGTTGATGGACACTTAAGGTGCTTCCATAGCTTAGCTATTATAAATAATGCTGCTATGAACATTGAGGTGCATGGCTCTATTTTGTTTCCATTTTCTTCTGATATATACCCAGGAGTGGGATTGCTGAATGATATAGTTTTTAGTTTTTTGAAGAACCTCCATACTATTTCCTATGACAGTTGTACCAATTTACATACCCACCAACAGAATATGACAGTTCCCTTTTCTCCACGTTCTTGCCAACATTTGTTACTTGTCGTCTTTTTGGTGATTGCTATTCTGACACATGTGAGGTGATACTGTGGTTTTGATTTGCATTTCTCTGATGATTAGCAGTGCTCAGCATCTTTTCATGTGTCTGTTGGTCACTGTATGTCTTCTTTGGAAAAATGTCTATTAGTTTTTTTCTGTTCATTTCTTTAAATCATTTTTTGATAGTTGCAGCAGCTACTTATATATTTTAGATGTTAACCTCTTATTGGTCATATTATTTGCATATATTTTCTCCCATTCTGTAGA